AATAAACCCCCAGCTGATTGTTGAGTCATATGTTATGCAAATGTAATAAAGTAAGTTGTTTATCATATGACCTACACAGCTTGGATCATGTAATACAATTAAAAAAAACAAAAAAATAATGGAGCTGACGCAAGTAGAGCCAGACAGGTTGACGGGAGACATTCTGGAATAATCCCTGCATGCCGCTCTATCACATCTCAGTTGCATCTTATGAGAATGTGGATTCTAACTTTGGACCTACACTTATTATAAATTTTGGGGATGTTTATGATGTATAGACTAAGTACAGCCATCTGTTGATAGGTACCTGTGATTTGATACTTATTCGCTCTGATGAAGGGCTAATGCTTAAAATATCAGCTTTGAGACTTTTTACAGAGGCCAATTTACATTATCAACTGCATTGATAAAGCCAAAGTTATCTTGTTTGATACTCCCCCATCAATGCAGCACCACAGTTTCTTTAGAATCTTACCCCCTTTCTTCACCCGTGATGTGAACCTAGGGGACTAAAAGACACAGTGATTATTTTGAATTCATGTTATTTTGGTTTTGTGTTCATGAAAATTATTAGGTTGTTCACAAGTTGGTCACTCGTTGATTTTGGCAATCAAGATGCCTTTATGCCTGACACACAGATCGTGTTTTTGGCAACTGAACCCATGTAACAAACTGAAGTTTTAATTCCTTGAAAATTCCCTCTTGATTTATTTTTTTGGGCTGTTTTGTCATCTTTGTTGTGATAATCCTGTCTGTTTTGTTACAAAAAGTTGTTGTTTCTTTTTTAGTGCCTGGGAAAGTATGTATCATACTTGATTAACAGTGGGCAAGTTCTAAAGCTGCCCTGCCCTGATGCCTTGTGTCCCAGAAGTGGTAACATGACCAAGAATGAAGTAAGCATTTCTTTCAGTGATAAAAGAGTAAATCTTCTTAAATTTAGCTCTGCCTCAATTCTAAATAGAAGTTTACAAAACTAAGAAATAATTTCAAAAAAAAAGAAACAATCCAAAACTCAGTGAAAGAGCGTGTCTTGATTGAGTATTGTTAAACCAAAACGGAAGTAATCACAAGGGCTTATCAGGGAAAGGAAAAATTTCTTTAAATAACGAATGAGAACTCAAAGTAAAAACTAAAGCATGTACCAAACTGCCTTGAGTGTACGAAAACGCAGGTGATCAAGTCTTGATAGGTTTTAGTTTTACTTCTGATTGGTGCAATTTTTCTGGGCCAATTAAACAGAGCCAAGTGAAGCAAATCCAATGGAATCCTTTTGACCCTCAAGTGAAAATTACTTAGTCTACATCTGGTTCTTTAACTAACCCTTTACACCCTAACATCAGTATATTTATTCTCCATACTGTTCTCTGTACATTTACCAAGGTGCTGATAAGGAGAATCTGTCTAGCAATCAAGTGTTCTTTAGTTGGTGATAATTTCCTTTTTTCTTATGACATTAATGTGAGATTCAGGGGTAATATTGTAAGGAGAAATTAGATGTTAGTCACTCTTAGGGGTTAAAGGGTTAATAAAATTGATGTTCATTGTAAAAAGTTATTAATCAAAGAGGAATTTAGATTTTGCATTTCAATTGAACTTTATCCCTAACCAGAATGGTTTAAAAAATATGTTCTCATATTCATACTTGATTTAATTTTTATTCAGATTTCTTTGCTGGTTGACAGTGACATGTTTGAGAAGTATCAAAGACTGCTCAAACAGAAAGGTAAAACATACTTATGATATACAATTTGAAACATAATTATATAAATGACAAGTCATTATCATGCATAAAGGCAATTCTGACAACTCTGTGCAATACTGATTGTTCAAAATTGCAACTATATTTCATATAACTACATACATCTTTTCAGAGGAGGCCTCTGCACTACTAGAAATGGTTTCCAGGGGGGGCCTGACTGTCGCTGAGAATAATAAATTAATGTGGGACATCAATAATGTGAGTAAGATTTTAGACTGCTCACCAAAGTCTATGTTCACTTTATAACATTTATTCACCATTCTTGTGTGTTCTGTTGTAGAGGTTGCTGTTGATAAAACAAAAACATTTTGTCCAATGGCTGGTTGTGAAGGAATTTGCAGTGGACTACCAGACCTGGCACAACCTACAGTCTGTCAAGAGGTGAAACATGCTTTATTCTTTCCTTAAGGTAGTTGTGGCTTTATGACAGCTTGCATTTTTCAACATTTCATACAGTGTACTTAACCCTTTTATACCTTAAGAGTGACTGGCATCTAAATCCTCCTTACATTATCACCCCTGAATTGCTTACTAAGGTCAGAAGAACAAAGGAAAAATCACCAACTGAAGAAGCTCTTGATTAAATAAATTCTCCTTGTCAGATCCTTTGGAAATGTATAAAGAACATTATAGAGAAATCATTGCATACAGATGTTAGGGTGTAAAGGGTGAACTTGTTGTTCTATTGGGCTCTTCTTGGCTCTTTGTGGTTTATTCCTTTGTTCTAATTGGTCATTATGATCATGTTTATTTGTTTTTATCTTGTGACAATCATTTGGAAAATGCTCTTCAATTGAGATGATTCCAAAAATTACACCATATTAAGTTACACCTTATTTTTTAGTGTGGGTATACCTTCTGCTTTGCTTGTAAAGAACACTGGCATGCTGCTATGACTTGTGATGAGTATAAGAAGGTGATCTCTGATTCACAATCAGGAACAAGGTAATGTTAAACTTAACAGTAATGCTGTTCTTGAATTCTCCCAAATACCTCATGAACAGCATCTTGCCATTGCAGTCATTAAAGCAAACTTTCAGTTTGTTTTGAAGCAAACTTGCATTTTAGTGAAACAAACTTGTAGTTTAGCCATTGCTTGCATGCAAGAGGATTGACAATAGAAGCATCTATCAAAAAGAGTAAATTGTTGGTCACAGAACTTGATTTACTGGATTTGGTGTATAACTGCTGAATTGAACATTAAGGTCATGACAATAAAGGGCACACATGCACACTCATTGAGAGAAGGAGAGAGAGAGAGAGCATGAGTTAGACATCTACTTACAAGATCTCAATTTCCATTTGGCAGATTTGTGGATATATTAAGAGAAAATGGTGAATCAGGAGACATCAAGGAGTGCCCTCTCTGTCAAGTATTAATAATGAGAGAAGCAGGATGTGCCCAGATGATGTGTGGCCACTGTAAACACATCTTCTGTTGGCACTGTTTAAAATCTTTGGATGTAAGCCAAGCATCAGTTTTTAATTACAATAAATTGTATTACAAATTCTTTTCTGAAAGAAAAATTTGATACTACCCACAATCTCATTGATTAAGGCGTGTTTATTGCCCAGAGGATAGAAATACTTTTTTGACATTTTGGGTCTGTGCTTCTTTTTATAAAGTATTTTATAAAAGGAAGAGACAACTCTGGCTGTGTTGGATTTACCTCATCTTTATACTTTGGGGTTGGGAGAATTCCCATGAGTTCTACAAACCATTGATTCCATCTCAGGTTCACATAACTGTCTCACACCCTTCAACCTCCCCTTTTGTACCACCGATGTGTAAATCTAGTTTGAAATTAATGAAAATTGATGTTATTACAGCACATTTTAATGACAGGTTTGAATCCAAATCTTGTTTTGGGACCATTTGACCCAAAAGAAAAATTAAAATGCTAATAAAATGTAATCACAGACTTAAAATTTTTATCTGTTTTACTCAACAGACTGACATAATGTTAAGACATTATGACAAAGGTCCATGTAGAAACAAGTTAGGCCACTCACGGGCATCACTATTCCTTCACAGGACACAGGTTAGTTTACCCAGGTTGTTTCTCTTTTGTTTAAGAATATCTTAACGTAGATGGGTATGAGCCAACATCAACATTTCTCCTTTTTTGTGTTGAAATATGCATAAGGATGTCCCAATGGAGAATTTATTTAGGGCAAAGGCTACCAAAAGAAACCTACTTTTATCAAAGTCCTTTGTCATTAATGAAGGTTATAAGTTAACACCATTGGAGAAGCTTGCAATATGAACTTAAAAGCAGCCAAACAGAGGATGCTCCAGCCATTATGATAAACTTTGACTACCACAGAACCAGTGCTTGTCTGAGGAAATGTGGTACTTTTAGATGGCAGGGATTAAAAAATGAAGTGGATTGTTTCTTATCAACTTCTTCATCTGCTCTTTCAGGTTGTTGCTGGATTTGCTTTCTTTGGATTGATGGTTTTGGTGGCATCTCCATTTCTACTGTTAGTCTCACCCTGTTTGCTGCTTTCAAAATGTCTTTTTCGTAACAACTGACATCTCAAAAAAGGAGCAAATTCTTCTCTAAGAAAAGTTGGTTTCAATGTTTCAAATTAAAATTCTGGTCCATTGTAAGGGCCAGTTCAAAAATTATATTGATCTGAATTAACTTGTTGCTGTTGTTGCTGAATAAGTAATTCTGTAAAACAGAAATATGCTTAGATGTACTGCCAATGTCCATTTCTAAAATGAATTAACTGTGATGAACTTATGAAGTAGTGACATTCATATTGATGACATCTGTTTCACTGAAAGTCTTTTCATCCAGTTACTCTTAATAGCAAATTGATAATAGAAATAATAAAGTGTAATTTCTATGAAGACTAAAAGAGCTTACTTTAAGCAAAAAAAAAGTGCCTGTTCAATTTGTCACAATTCAAGTTCTTAACATAAATTTAATTTAACTGTTGCTCCTTCCTCTTAGGATGTAAGGAAAATAAGAATAAGAATAAAAAAGACATTCTTTGCCGTTTGATTGTCCCTGTTGATATTGCCTTGTCCTTTAACTTTATCTGCAGTGCAGTAACTGTTCAAAGGCAGGGCTACACTCCCAAACACATTTGTTGAGACAGTTTGCTGCCTTCCAGGCCCCTCTCTGAGAAACACTTTACCAACTGACATTAAATAATAAGCTGAATTATACCTGCATCTTTGGTTCCTATATGTGTTCTATCAGAAATCAGACACATAGATGACATGGTCATTCTGGTAACAGCATTTTGCTTTTTATCATCTAAAATGTATGGATTTCATGATGCAGTGGGTTTGTAAGGTTATGTATCACAGAAGGCATCAAAATGTGATAAGAACATCAGTAACATACTGAGCTGTGTCTTGTTTACCACTTTTTTGTTCTTACCACATTTTGATGATATCTGTGATCTACTATTCAACAGAATCTACTTTTTAATTGATAACACTCAAGGGAGATGGGCAGGAAACCACAGGCATTAGGTCTCTCTAAACACTCAGCTGACAGCATATCACTTTCGATGAAATTTATTGTGATTCAAACAATGTGTAGAGGACAAGTCAGAGGTAATGTTATTGAAGGACATGTGCACTGTACACAAAGGCCACGTCAAAACTAATTAATATACTATTAGCTAACAAGAATTACTGAAAAACTCCTACTATATATACTACATGTTGACGAGCTGGTATTGCATGGCTAGCCTCCCATGCAGATATTTCATTAGCTTTTCAAGAAATCCTCTGCAATACTTAGAGGGAGTGGGTGTTGGCTCATTAGAATATTTGCATAGGTAGATATCACCAGGCATGCAATGACTAAAATAAGTTAATCAAGTAACTTTCAAAGTATTTTTTTGGTTTATAATCATTGAATCCAGGACTAACTACAGTTTATATGATCTTGTGAGTGCAACGAGATGGATTGAAGTTATTCAGATTTCTTGTCTTATCGACAAAGAACTCAAATGTCCATATTATTACTGATTGGGATCAGAAGTTTTTGGTCACTCTTGAGATGATTTAAATTAATCTCATAAAGCTGAATCAGTTTCACAGACATGTATGTCATGTTTATGAAGTGTTTTTGTGGAGGGAATGCAGTAACTCAGAGACATGAGGTTTACTGGTACCAGCAGAGTTCACATTTACATGTGCTGACAGCAACAACGTAAACTGGACAGTTCTACAGATATCATTCATTAGTGGACTCCATCCTTATAGCTGAGGACGAAACCTTGATTTTTACAAAGAATGGTTACAGTTAAAGGTGTAGCCTGATCAACTAAGTGGGAGTGGCCCTGAAAAGGACTTTGGTAACCCTTTACACCCTAACTAGCATCAGCATGTCTATTCTCCATGCTGCTCTCTATATATTTCCTAAGGTGCTGACAAGGAGAATTTGCGTAACAATCAAGAGCTCCTTAAGTTTGTCATCATTTTCTTTATTCTTACGACTTAAATGAGTGATTCAGGGGTGAAGTTATATGGAGAAAATGCCATCCCATTGACTCTGATGTTGACAAACACATAAGTTGATAAAGCCTTAGTAACCTCTTGTCAAAAAGTCCACTTTTAGGGGCATATTCTGGGGGGGGGGGGGGGGGGGGGGGGGGGAGAAAAGAATAGAGGGGTCAAGGTAACACCCTCCTCCCCTCATCAGACTTGTGGGTTTTTTCAGTACTTGCCTGACAGAAACATTATAGCAACAACAGGACTACACGTCACTACTCAATATGACATCAACACTAGCCTGTCTCAAGATGTTTCCTTCCTTATGAATGTTTTGGTGTGTGTTTGTTTTCTGAATCAAAGTTTGGATTCCCCACCCTTCAAAAATTCCAGAATCCCCCCTGCCCCTGTTTTCAGGACCTCTCTCACCACGATAATCAGACTACATTACCAACAGAATCATACTGATACAAATGTACAATTTACTGATAATGTAAAGCAATGGTAGACGCAAGATCAGAGAGAATATTTCTATATCTTTCTCCAAAACATGAAGTGTAGTTAATTAATTTATGATTAAAAGTGACTCACGACCATATTGGTTTTTTTCTTCCTATTGAGTTATGATAACTCTGTTTGCATGCAAACAATTCAAAAATTTAAGTAAAATACCCTTATGCATCTTAGAGGATAGGACATAAGAACTTTTTAAAACTTAAAACTTTTTACTGCAAAGTATTATGTTAGGAATGAAAATTTTAACAAAACAAAAGATGTGTAAAAACAAAGTGTACATGAATAAGACTTGTGAGAAGCTAAAAAGGTTAGTACTTGTTTATGTTGTCATGGAAATTTGGCTGATTTCATGATATGACCTGAAACAAAGACAGAGAAGATAACTTCTATTTTTTTAAAAACATGTTTTGAGTTTTTTTGAAAATGATTATAACCTATTATCTCTGGACTAATTTACCAAAAACAAAACAAAACATAAGCAAAAACCAATGATAACTTTATGATTGAAATGAAATGTCACCCATTTCAAGGTAAGCTTTCAGGTGTAGAATTAACTACTGGGTTAAACCAGACAAAAAACTCTCAAAGGAAACCTTTTAGCTTTCAGTTTCTACCAAAAAGGAACAAAAAGACCCTTAAGATTTAATATTCTTTAGGAATGGTACAGGTAACAGGAAATTGGTGCAGAGTTATTGCGTTGAAATTGTTCTTGAAGTTTAAGTTAAAAAAGAGAGGGAGACAGCACATCAGAAGGGAAAGGAAACAGGATGTAATCTCAGGTCAGAAGGATGCTCTGCTTGACCACAGCCACAAAATAAAAAAATTGTTGCCCATGTTCTTATATGAATAGCAAAGACTTATGAACTTGCAGTTTTGAGAAGTTAACATTTAAATGTAGTATTCACAGTTAAATAAGGTCATACCTTTCTAACTGTTTCCTTGATAAAGTCCTTCCTAGATGTGAGGTCATGCTCTGGAAACTTATCATACACCTAAATAAAGAAGAGGAAAATACATGAATTTTGGCTACTGTTGTTGTGTTTCGAAAAATTTCTCCATTTTCCATGGCATAATCTTGCAATTTTTGATTTTCTTAAAGAGTTGAACTTGAAGTGATTTCAAGTAGATAATCCAAGTCTCTCCCTTTTCTCTTCTTCTACAATATTATTGAAAATATTTGTTTTCAATAATTTTCCAAGAACCACACTTGTATTCCACAGCTGATTCATGGCTGGATAATGAAATTGTAAGATTCCATGATTTTTATAAAATTTGTTAGACTTCAGCTATTTACCAACCAATTTCTTTGCTAACAGAAGAGCAATTAAGAAAAATTATTTGTATTTTTTCAGAGTCAGATAAGGTGCCTTTACAAGAGAAGTTGTTAAGAAAATCAGCAACTGTGTAACCCAGCCAGTTCTTGAAAAAAAAATTCACTTCCTTTGGAACATAGCTTGCCTTTCTGGGTATGTTAATTTCCTGTTTGCTCTCTTAACCCTTGAACTCCAGGTAAAATTTGTAATTCTCCTTACTGTCAACCATACAATTCTTATGATGTCAGTTCAGAGAATTTAGTATTGGATCAACTAATTATTCCCAAATTGATCTTTTTTTATTCTCATCACTTATGCTGTTGATATTGTATTGATATCGTGAGGAGAAATTCTGTCTTGGTCACTCATGGGAGTTAAAGGGTTGAAATGGAAGTTTTAGACTGAGTTTTGCTGAAGGAGATAAACTTACTTGTTTACACACACTCTTCATTGTGACCATTTCAAGGTCTGCACCGTCTAGAAGATCTTTAACAATCTTTTCAAGTTCACTATCCTAAAGTGAAAACAAAGAGAACCGCACAATACTGTAAACATATGACTTATAACAAAACAGAGGAGCAGGCCAAATTTGCAATCCATTGAACAAATCCTTACAGTAGGAGGCTGTTTCTTTGATTTTTTTGCTAGCGGTTCCTCATCAGAGGATGAGTCATCTACTGGTACTGGTTTTTCTGAAAAGGATGAAGAAATTAAAAGTTAATTCAAATTGACGAAAATGGACCTCTGTCATTTATGGCACATTCCTTTACCGCAAATGGGTAATTTACAAAATCAAGGATGCCACTTTTTCTGACAAGCCTTCTAGATGGAAACATGTATAAACTAAGTATCTGTCACTCCCTGCATACACTCCTGGTGGGTAATCTCACTCTAGAAGTCAGGTACTATTCAACCCTCCCCTTCCTTCCCAGAAGTAGAGAAAAGGCCCCTCAGCTGACTTCTCCAGGTATTACACAGAGTTCTCAGGCAAACATCTCTATGGCTTTCAAAAACTATTTTTAGGAAGACATAGTTGATATTTTTGCAGTTATTCTTCCTCGTTCTGCTGCTACAACAAGACCCTGTGTTGTGTCAAAGTTGTGATCCACTTCTACATAGGAGGGTATAAGATTTTTTACTCACCTTTTTTAGGTGTCTTCTTCTTTGAGGGACTTTTCTGTAGAGCTGTTATCTTCACAGGAACAGGGTCTCTCTTTTTAGATGTTTTTGTCTTTTCTACACTTTTCTTTGACTTTGCCTTGTCTTTATCTTTGTCTTTACTCTTCTTCTTTTCTTTCTCCTTTCCCTTTTCTTTCGGTTTCGTTTCTTTGGCTTTTTTAGGTGAAGATTCGGTCTTTTTAGGTGTTGATTCGACTTTCTTTTTCTTCTTTGGAGGCTGTAAAACAAAGGGAAACTGTTAAATGTAATTACTAAGTGACAAGGTGTGCAAAATGTGCTATTATTTCAGATCCCTATGCCAAAATTTTGTACAGGTGCAAATAAAAAACAGCAATTTAGTTCACATCCACTGCGATGTATAAAGACTAATTTAGCAGGACACAGCCTTCATGCAATTTCAAGAGGCAAATACCATGGAAACAAGTAGGTGGGACCTATGGCATTTCTATCATGTTAATAAAATTTTTCCAAATTTATGTGATATGAAAGTTGCATCCGTTTACTTCTTCCTCCTGTTCCTGTTCCTCCTCCTCCTCCTCTTCTTCCTCTTCCTCTTTTTCTTCATCATCTTCACTCTCTACCATCTCTGATGTCTTCTTTGACTGAAAGAGATTAAAAAAAATTTCAGAATCCAGCAAAATAAGCCTAATAAATTTAAAATTGTAAAGAGAGTCAGTGTAGCCAATAAAATTATTTTGGGAAAGAAAAGAATTTAATAATGGAGAAATATTTCTTAACAAACACATTCTACATAGATAAATATGCAACAATCAAAATAGGATCAAAGGAAGCTACTGAAAAAATTTCTTGAAATGTCTAATATTCTCCATAATGTAGAGGAGTAAAATGTAAATTTGCTGTCTGTTTAGAAAAGAAAAGTTAAAAATCTGTGTAAGACTTAAAATCTACACCAACCCAGACTTCCTAGCCAGGCTTACAGTAATAACATGAAAACATGCCAGATGTAATGATTGAACAAAATCCAAAAACAAACCTTCTCTTTTTTACTCTTTGAGCTACCCTCTGCAATGAAAAAAAAAAACAAGGTTATTTGATTAACCTTGCACATATTATTGATTAAAACGTAAATCTCTTATCAGTTTTTAACTGAGAAAACCTACATGCTGATATTCCTTTTGTCAATTTTTTCAGTGGCTTACCCTTTTTTGGTCTTTTTCTCTTTTTCTTTTCATCCTTTTTTGGTTTAGGCTGAGGTGCAGGCTGTGAAAAAAATTAGAGTAATATATTAACATCATCACTTCATTCCTGAATAAAAACAAACTAGATATTACATGTGTTGATGTGGGAAAAAGATGGATAAACATTCAATTCTTGAGAAAACACTTGCTGGAGATGTTTATGTGTCAGAAGTCTTTCCTCTACATGTGTGACATTATGCAGGGTAACAATGATGTGTCTTGGGCTAGATGACAAAACTGTAAAATTCAGAATATAAAGAATATAAAGTAAAAACTCACTTTCCCTGAAGATTTTGGCGACATAAGAAAATCCATGACTTTTTCAAGAAGATCATTCTGAAAGATATTCACAACAAGTCAATAAACACCAGAGATTCTGCGAGACTCCTGCTATAAAATAAACTCAAATAAATTGACTCATAAATTGGTGATATATCTTAGCATACCCTTTTTCCCTTCTTTTCCAGGTCAAAAATTTCACAAAGCCTTTTTAGACCATCATTTGTAAATCTGTAGTAAATAAATAACATGAAAGTATCACTTAAAAGTTTGTAACTGACAGCCCTTGTGCATACACAAAAAAATACAGTAACTGAATATGAAAGTGATCTTCACAGTAATGGACACTACTCACACAGTAGTGAAAATGAGGTCTGAAAAGATTTATGTCTCATTTTCACTAATGCTTAAGTACATAGTGTTCTTACTGCGAAGAACATTCCCAAATTCATTTATTATCTGCAATTCACATAATGATTTTGATATATATTTACAGTCATTTATTAAATGATACTGTGAAATGCAACTATTGTTAATCATGTTTAGCGTGGTATAACAACAAGATTATTGGATTGGTACTATACAGAAAAAATTAGAAAAAAGAATATCGAGAATCAAGCATTACCTCTCTACACCAAGCTTTTTAGCTTCATAATCTTTAGAATCCTATCCATGTGACAAGGAAGAATTAGAACACTTCATCACTCATTGCCTAGCATTTTTTTTTTGTTTCAGAGAATTTAAGTCACAATACTAAATAAAGCTCATCTTACCTTTTCAAATGGAAATCCATTAAACTTCCTAATATTCTTTTTAACTTCCATTACCTAATAACAAAAGCAAAAAAATCTCAGTATCTTAATTAAGGGAGGTTTTAATTTAGTTTGGTAACTTTTTATCAATCAAAGTTTAATGTGAAGAGCAACACCATCCCATTAACGAAAAAAAATTTAAAACAAGTGGATTGAAGCATACCCTTCCTTCTCTTCCATATAGAAGCTTGTGAAGAGGCTTCAGCTCTCCTGCAGAACTTCTTCCAAGTTCATAGTTTGCTGAAGTAAAACAAGAAGTAATTCTGAAAAATGCTGTTACCAGCATGGTTAACACAAAGTTCTATAGCATCAAGTCTGCCTCAGATTGCGCTTTAATATTACAAGTAATATCATTAATACGTAACCAGAATTCTTATTAAGCAAATTACTTTAAGCTGATCAACCAATGGATTTAAACGCTGTCTTTCTCATAATTAGTTTTTTACCATAACAGGTCTTCTTTAAAGATTTGACAAGTGGTTAGAAAGCTTAACAATTCTCTCTTACAAAAGACAATAATAATCACAAGCCTCTTAAGCATGTATACTCACTTCTTTCAATAGATCCTAGGGATTCTCCCTTACCCTATAGAAGAGAAGTCACAACATGAAAACTTGTTACTCGTTAACAATTTAATTACTATCCTCCCAGGGCAAATATAAATGCAAATGGTGTCCAAATGTGTTTCACTTCTCAAAACTAATAGGTAATTCTTTCTTTTAACTGCTACAAACTTCACTTTCAATAAGTTAAGAGAAGTTAAGTTACATCAAGATCACAAAATCTCCCTGATAATTGTATGTAGTATTTTCTACTCATCATCTATTTACTAGAAATTGTATTGATATTGTTGGCAAAAGATGCAAGATAATCACCTATGGAAGTAAACAAATAGTGTTCCTCTGAACTCAGATAAGTCAACTCACACAAGTAACACCTATTCTAGATAAGAAACCCTCTAACAGGCAGTTATAACAATCAAAAGAGTATCAATGAATTTAAGTAGCTTTACCTCAAAGATAAGAGGCTTGCTCTCTTTGATTATAGTTGGTGTGGTTTGATTGACCAGAAAGTCTGTTGACTTCCTTGCTCTTTTCCCTTCAATAACAACTGGCTTGTCATAGAGTCCTAGAGACATCACTGAGCTCAGTATTTGTTTGATGTGCAGCTATAAATACTTCAATTCAACATTTTTATTTGCAGTATATGTATCAGTATCAGTATCTAAATAATTCAAAGGATAAATGCTGAAAAGTACTTCACTGCTCATCTCCCAATAATTTTCTAATTTTCTTTACTGCCTGCCATACAATTCTTACAGTATTAGTTTGGATAATTTGGTATTTTTTTAATTTAACTTATAATCCCTTTATTGATATTTCGATTATTCCCCTCACACATGTGCTTGATTGTGTATTGATTTTGTCAAGGAAAATTCTATCTTGGTCACTCATGGGATTTCACAAGTTATAGATAAGAACATTAACTAATTTCTGATGCAGACATAAAATTATGCTCAGCCTGGCCATGCATTAAACAGGTAATATAGGGGAATAAAAAAAATATACTTTGCTTTCCATTTATAATAATTACTATCATTGCACTATTTGATCCCCCTGATTTAAACCAATTAGACATCGATCTATGATACTGTAGATAAACACTGCGATCCAAGCCACGACATCTTAGAGGGCCTCTCGGAAAACTATATGTAACGTATTGTAACGTATTTGCTATAGTAACAGCTAAGAATAATGCACTGCTTAAGTATCATGCAAAAAAGCAATCATAGCAAGTATACGGATGAAAAACAAAAGGGAGGTCCAAATGTCTGTCTGTTCGCAAAAATGTAACTTAAATAATCGTGTATTGTCTGCGAATTCAACAGTGTTTACTATAGACTACAGAAGTCATTGGCGAGTAACAGAACACGTTTACACGACAGCTTAAAATTGAATGACGCTTCATAATCGAAATAAAACTACCTGCATGCTCCTCTTCTTCGCTTGACTCCTCGTTGTCTTCGTCTTCACCATTCTTTGAAACTTGCTTCGAATCCTCGGCCTCCACATTGTTTGACTTTTCATCCTAAAATAGCATCAAACGAACAAAAGGCAGGTGAGCTGCGCGGTTCCTTTCAATCTAACGTGAAAAACTTCAAATTCTGGTGAAGAGAATGGACGAGATTTTCGTCAACCTTTGCCGTTTCTTTGGCCTCAGATTTAAGTTCGGAGGATTCGAGTTTGTCCGCCATGATGATCGAGGCTTCTAACGGGCATGTGCTTTGCGCGGGAAACTGACAAAAAAGATCGATAACTGTCAACCTCGATTTCATGTGTGGCATGCGGGCTCACAAAAACTTGGGTAGGACTTCGTCAGGACTCGTTTAGATTCGGTTACAATACGCTGGTCATTTTGTATGGAAGTGAACGAAGACGTTCCGAGAAGGCAACGTGAAAGGGATCACATTCTCTGATCAAATCTTCCAATCCGAGTAACCTCACCAAATGAGAGATGAGTTGGCGTTTGATTAAAATTTTTAAACTCATACAGGCCCAACAGTGCCGGGTATTGCCTGTTCGCAAAGCGGCCGGTGCTGAACCAGTCTCAAGGTTTCTTAGATAAACAATATCTACTTCAAACATAACCTTTTCGTGGAAATTTATTTGGCGGGATGCAGAAGTGGAGTAAAAAAAAAACCTGAGTTATCGTGTAAACGATAATCTTAAGTTGGCATAGTAATGTTACTTTGGACAGCCGACCTAAAACATTTTGCTTTACCCCTTTAGACCCTAATATCAGTATTCATATTCTCATAATTCTTCTCTACACATTTCCTTTGGTACTGACAAGGAGAATTCGTAGGATTAAGCTTCTCGGGGGTTGGCGATCTTTCCTCATATTCTCATGATCTAAGGCTAATTCAACAGTATTATTATTGTAAGGAGAATTTAGATACTAGTCATTCTTAGGCTAGGAAGTTTGAGGAAAGTTTTTATTGCCCGTAAGGATTATTTTTCGTCAACAATGAGGGATCAAGTTAACCTCTATTTTCTAGTGATTGTGGGAAGTAATCGACTACCAAAAGCGTTTGTCCAACAAGTTCTTCCAAATGTCTTTGAAGTCAAAAGAGACATGCGCATGGGGCGAAAACTAAATTTGAATAAGTGATTGCACATAGGTACTTAATGTGGTAAAGATGGATAACAGACGCATTATCGTACATGTCGATAAAGACAAAATATGAAAGTACTCCAAGGAGGGGCGTAAGAAACAGTCCACACCTAAAATCTTAGGCCGGTTGCCAAAATTTTTTTGATTTTCGATAGAGATGGATTGTTTTAAAGCATGCTTATAAATTCCACCTCGATGATATCACTTATAAATACACACCTCGTCAGCTAAATCTACGAGTAATCGAATTCTTGCAAAAGAAGAATATTCTGCCTTAAGATCATATATAGATATACTAATTCAATTAATGTCCAGCTTTTTCACTTCGAATGAACCACTGATAAATCCTTTCAACAACAGAAGTTTTGGTTACAAACTTTAAATCTAATGCGGTGGAGAGAACTGGTCTGTCATAAAATTTAAAAGGTTTCGTGAGTTTCGTGTGCAATTAAAAAAAACATTGTTGCTACTGTGGTAGGTTTAAGCCTCCGTGGGTTGTCTTTCCTGTTTCATTTTAGCGGGAGTGGCGAAGGCTCAGCGGTAGACACGCGAAGCGGATTGCTGCAGAAGAGAGAGAAACTTCGGAAGACGTCCGCAAAGCTCAGGAATTTCTTACATGCATGGTCTAACCCTTTACACGCTAATATCAATACTATGTGCATATTCTCCAAATTTTTTCTCTTCATTTCAAGGAAAATTTGTCTAATAATCTATAGCTTCTTGAGTTCGCGATCATTTCTTTTATTCTCATAACCTTTGAGCTTGTTTCACAGGTAATACTTTAAGGAGAAAAGAGATGCTGATGTCTCTCAGGGGTTGAAGGGTTAAAGGAGGAGAGATTGACTACTATGCACCCTTTAGTAAGTTAGATTCAACTAAAATGTCCGACGGCAATTCAACTTTAACTGGCGGCGATGCATCTTTCTCCTTAGTGAGCACAACTTACAAAATGTTATCGCAGAGGTCATGGGTTCAAATCCCGTACAGGCCTGAATTTTTTTTAGGCCTTCTTTCACTACTACTTAAGTAGTGTTCATTACTGCGAGGATCGCTTTCATTCACGTCTTTAACCGTAGTTCAAATATATGACTTCCATATATTCACAACCGTTTACAAAATGTTAGTTATCGAGCTCATTAACTAAACAGTGTTAACAGAATAGCAAGACGTCTTGCGGATGACTCAGTACGAAACTCAACACGTTTTCAATCGGATCCTAGCCAATGCGTGATATACATTTACAACAATTTACTTGTGGTTTTTCGATCGAATTAAGTGGGGTTAGTTTCGACCATGTTTACACGCCCTTAAACCACAGGATCACATTTTTTGAGGATATTCGGAAATCTTTCCGTTATTTGAGAATAGTTGAAAATCTTCTCGAGGCTCTTGTGACCTTAGGTGAACAAAGGGCCACCGCTCCGTCTTAAACCTGTGAAATTTTGAAAAGAATACAAATAATTTCAGTATTGATTTCGGTTTTCAGTATCGGTTGGAATGTTACGTGCACCCAGCTCAACCACATATTCCCCGCGGCTATTTAGAAAGTTCTGAATTTTGTACTTCGCGTTCTGATAAGAAAAAAAAACAAACAAACAAACTCCGATTACTGGTCATGACGGCATCATGATTAAATTGATGGGAGAAAACTACTTTTTACTAAGTAGACGCAAATTTGTCAGAGATAAAATGTGAGTTCACTGCGGGTAAGAAATGCGTTAGTTCTTGTTCGAATTCGGAAGTATGCCTAGAACGAACGGAATGTAAAGAAGCTGCCGAAGCTTGAGAATCAGAACTACAGTTCTGGCTGATTTGTAATGAAAATATGTTTACAAATCACTGATACCTGAAATTATCTCAATTCATGAAGCGAGTAATGAGGATCTTTGATTTGATTTATGGCACCTTAAGGTGTGTCGTGGGATGGGATCAGCGCACGACCGGAAAAAAGTGACATCGACCGGAAGTTATTATTTGAGACAGTATGCTTTCAACGCAGTCAGAAGGTCACGCCGCGGATGTTAACATTCAACCGGCTGAGATCTCCAATATAAACAAGAACGTGATTGCTTACCTTGAATGCATTGGCCATCCTCTTGTAAATAATTCTGGGAGAACACGATTTACGCTAGAAGTCCGTGAACTTGCGATATTCCGCGTAAAAGAAGGATGTCAAGATTCGCGCTCAACAAGGTGCCTCGTGTTAGTTCGAAAACACAGCTTTTTCTCACGTGTTTTTCGATGATTTTGATGAACAGCGAAATAATAGCAAGTGGACTCCCTTATTCAGAGCCACCAAGTTTCAAAATCGGGGAAAAGATTCGTTTGGAGACAATTTTGTCGTGTGGTACTGGCGCGTTCCAGAACAAACAAGATTCAGTGTTTTGGTGTGATTCAATGAAGGAAGGTGAGAAGTTACTGTTTCTTTAAAGGCAGATTCTAAGGCATATCTCTAGCTTCGCGATAAACAAAGCATTGTTTTAAAAGCTGACACCTCTTTGCTTAAAATTGTTTACATACTTTCATAATCAAATTGCTTAGAGCTTTATCTTGTACTAAAGCGACTGGGATTATTTTTCCTGCCTTGCACGTGAAGCGCAATCAGCGAGCTTCAGTTATTTGGGCGATTCTTATCTTTTACACAATGGACAATGGAGGTTTCATCCGAATAAAAGAGGAAAGAAGATGACTGGGCCGATCTATGTCATGTTTCCTTTAAACGTTTGTTTGCAGCGTTTTCAGTTAAACATGCCTCTATCTTATATCGCTGAGTCAGAAATATTTCCTGTTGTCCCCCGAGATCAAGAAGAGCTGACAACACTTCACATCTCTTGACACTAAAATAAACCGCTGAACTGAACTTCAATTGCAATATCTACGCAAGAGGATAGGCTTTTTAGCCACAAAATCGGTGAAATTTCGTAAGTCAGTGGGAAGAACTCGCTTTCGTCTATATGACAGTGTCAATTACCGCGGGATCTTAACTTGAAGGGGTATCGCTCAGTGATGAAAAATAAGTTAATTGCGTCGTAATGTCGATTTTCACGTTATATATATTAAATGGCGTGACACAAATCTGGGAAAAATTATAAAATTGCTCATTGACGGACTTACCTTACGAAATATCCTTTAAGCTACTTTATTGCGTCATTTTTAGCGACCTAGCGAATATTGCGCCGTGAGCAGCACGTCATCAACAAGCGATGGAGACTTCTGCGTTGTAGCGAAAGTAAATACGATCCGTGGACACCAAGAGATACCATCTTGACGGTTGTTAGCGAGTCATGCGATCATCAACATGGAATCATGTGAATCCTGGATCACAGCAATTAATAATATCGTGGTCCAAAACCAACAAAACGCGTTATGTGGCTTCGGAAACGACGCGATTATTAAGTGACGAAGATTTCAAGTTTTAGGAACGGCCTCGACGGGCAAGTGAGGCAATTACTGTACTTTAATTGCCTCTCGACGCGAATCTGATGATGTTAAATTAACGTTCATCGGCTGTTCGTGTCAGAATCGATTAGGCGCTTCTTAGTCTCTACGAAGAGGACGCGCGAGGGAAGAGAGTTTTGCGTGGGGGACGATACGCGCAGCGAGTCGTGTAAAATCCTTGGTGAGTCCCAAGTGGGCCGATCAGCTTCTGTAGCATCGATGAGCCGTTTAGGTGCGTTTCTCTATGTTGAGCGCGCCTCTTCTAATGGTATTGGGTACAGAATCGATGAAAGAATCTCAAGTGGAACACAGGAAAATAAACGAGTGGTACAAATAGTATTTCCTAGTGACTTACGCCTGTAACATTTGTGTGCAGACATTGAAACGCACAAAAGGAATGTCAAAGAAAATACCGAAAAAATGCCCGGGACTCCCTAGTTTAACAGTATGAATTTCTCCCCTCCTTCTTTTGTGGTGCGCTACCGGGTGGATCATGTGCTACTTAAAAGCGATTAAAAATATATTTGTTACCTTTCTAATGTTTCTAAGACCTTCGTTGGGCTTGATCTGCCTATTATGTCCCTGTAACTCGAGATGACTTTAAGTAGAAATAAGAATCAAACGTCTTCTTTTTTCTAATTTTGGTACTAGACGATTCTAACCAGACGAATGGAAATCAAAGTGACACGTGTTCCGCATGCGATCCCTTGACAAATGCTTCATATAGCATAAAGAGCGTACTGACAGGGAATGGAGTGAGGGAATGGAGGTCTCTCCCAAAGGATAAGGAGAGTATTCTACAGGAGCTCAACATCACGATCAACTTTCCACAGGTGGGCATTGTTTAGGAAGGATTCACACCCTGATTGCAAGTTCGTCTCCTTCCACTTTCGCCGGAGTTCGCCGGGGCGAATTCGCAAAGGCAGTAGGGGCAACGTCGCAATAGGGCGAACCTCCAGATACCGTGTGTATTACAATTTGGGAGATAGGCTATTTCCATATATTTGTAATATTTTCGGGAGAATACGCTTGGAGAGGACAATCGTGATCACTTCTCAGAGTCGCACCGTGCATGTTGATTCCTTTCGTGATACGCGCTTCCGCATAAAACTCATTAAACATTCTCTAAAATGAAGTAGTCGTGGCCGAGTGGTTAAGGCGATGGACTAGAAATCCATTGGGGTCTCCCCGCGCAGGTTCGAATCCTGCCGACTACGAAGTAGAGAACACTTTTGCTTATAGTTTTAAACAAAGGAATAGACAGGTGTTCATTGTGTTAATTGCGATCCGCATTAGAAAGCTTGACTCCACAAATTATTGAAAGGCTAAATTGAGGGCCAATTTTTTCCAAGTTATTTGTGCTGTTCACGTGATAGTTTTAATAATTGCTTCCTTCTTACCCTTCAAAGAAAAACATGTTTACCGGCACCAGTTATTGTCCGCCTCAATGCGTTTTGTGTCCAAATTTGTCCTCCTTTTCACCATCACCATCACTCCTTAACCCTTTAACTCCTAAGATCTGATTGGTAATTCTCCCCTCTAGCTGCCAAACATATTTTTAAAATTAGTTATGAGAATTTGGTGTAAGACTAAGACAACAACTTCTACCTGATAAGTTTGAATATTCTCATTAGCTGTTTGCTGGATAATGTAAGGATATTATAGGGAGAAAGTTTCATGTTGATCACTTGTGGGAGTTAAAGGGTTAAACTGCCATCCCTCGCACCTTGCTTCTCCCAAATTTTCCTTAATTTTACCATGGAAACTAAGCAACTGATAATTATAACAAAGTTATAACTAGAAGCAATTTTGGCGTCGTAAGTGGTCATTCCTCTCGGGGTCTTTCCGATTAAAGGTGATGTTTGCTAATGTGTATTTGTGGAATTTCCGATTAGTTGATAAACTTCGAAGCAGCTTTATGAAAAGACTCAAATTTTCCATCCTTACTTAAATTCAGCAGAGTGGCGCAGTGGAAGCGTGCTGGGCCCATAACCCAGAGGTCCGAGGATCAAAACCTCGCTCTGCTATGAACTTTTTCTTTTTTTGAAAAATTAGATGCCTCTGAATTCAGTGCCTATACTCTAAGGAAGTAGCTGGTGTTTAGAGGAGAATCGACTTCACATTCTGGGAATTGAAGGATGATTTCACAAAATAAGAGGTGCCAACGAGCTCATTTACGGGAAAATCGCGATTGAAATCACTGGCAAGTTTTATGTGCGCGCCACTCACGCGTGAAATTGCTTAGCAGAAATGATGCGGGATGTAATACAAAGGTATTACCTTTTAGAAAAAATGGATTATTCTATCTGCAGAAGTTAAGTTTTAGTGGCGTAACCTGCATGACATGAGTGTGATTTGCCTTTCGTTTTAATGGTTTTTTCTTTATTCTTACGCATGAGATTGCAGTGAGTAAGGACGAATTTCAAAAATGTATGTGCTTGAAAATAGATAGATCGTAGTCAGCAAACCTGCCGAGTCCATTGAAGGCTAACAAAGAAACAATTATTAAAACAATCACGTGAACTGCACAAATAACTTCAATTTAGAGTTCCAATAATTTGTGGAGTCAAGCTATCTCTTGCGGATCGCAATTAACACAGTGAAAACCTATCTTTTAGCGGTAAATTCCTGCGTTTAAAACTGCAAGCAAAAGTGTAAAAGACTTCGTAGTCGGCAGGATTCGAACCTGCGCGGGGAGACCCCAATGGATTTCAAGTCCATCGCCTTAACCACTCGGCCACGACTACCTCGTACAGAGAAGCGTTCCAACGTACGTTGAGACTGTTTCCACCTTCATTTAACGAAAATTAAAGAGGATTTTTGACCTCAAATCTGTTAAGATCATAATTGTTTCACTATATATCGAGCTCTCCTAAAATAATCTAAGACCGTTTAGTGATATAACACGCCAAAAGCACAGGGAAAAATTGGTGCGCCTTGTTAAAGACCAAAATCTGAACATTGAATGCCAACAGCAGAGTGGCGCAGTGGAAGCGTGCTGGGCCCATAACCCAGAGGTCCGAGGATCAAAACCTCGCTCTGCTATTTATTTCTTTTCTGTGCTTTAATCTGGTGCTGAAATAATAACATTTTACTGTAGATTTCTCATGAGTCAATATCAACTGAGCTTGCTTAAAAAAGTATCTTACTGTTAGGAAATGACATCCTTTTACCTGTTGAATTTTCAAGAATTCCAAGCAATTTTGAACGGTAATAAGAGGTACTACAGACGGTAAATGTTACCAGTTACTGCCTGAAAAGGAGAACACTGCTTGACTGTCTTTCAATATAAGTTTGGTGGAAGAAAAGTTTTGTTAATTTATTTTCTATATACTTCTTACATTCGACTCGACTTTCGTTTCAGGTACTCGAGATACAGAGTGTTTCTGTGAAGGCAGGTAAAACGCCTCTTCCCGCTGTCTGGGCCCTGGAAACGACCCTAGATGTTAACAGCGACTTTCAGGGGGTGCGTTACTACGTTAAAAACCAAGAGGATTGCTTGAAACACTTCGGAGTGAGCCTGTTAGACAGTCCTGTTTGCCATCTACAATCGGAACGTTCGTGGACAGAAAGCAAAACTGTAAGTACTCATGTAATCTCCTCTATGTGCGGGGTCGTGAACCAAAACAAAAGTAACGACTACGCCCAATTAAAGCAACGATTTATATCACCAGAAGCCATCAATTTTTTAACAGTTTTGACACTTTCCCGCTATTTTATGACTGTACATCGTCCGTGTTAGAACTTTTCCCGCCAAAAATGGGCCACGCGCGTCAAAGTTGACAAAAATTAAAACTCTTGGTTGAAAGCAAGAGAAGGTTTTCCGAAAACATTCATGATTAAAAGTCCTTCAGACTCAAACTGGTTCCAGCAGAAAAGGTAACAAAGTAGTTGAATCGATTAGGGTAAGCCTTTATATCTGTAAACCAAGTTAGTTCCAAGCGTTATCTACGATTTCTTCGGCTTTGTTCTGTACTTCAGTTTGTGTTTGGTTTAAAAATTTTTAGCCAACTTTCAACCAGTCTCTCTACATCGAGCCGTTTGCCTCAATGGCTACTTGTGACATTTGCTCTTCTCTGGGGAAGGGGGGGGGGAGGGGGGGTTACCGTGGGGTTATTTTCGTATTACAACACTGCCTTGCGCTTTACAATTTATTTAGTATAACTTTTCCTTGCAAGATGTGAAACGTTTTGAAACTTTCCCTCGTGGAAAATAGAGTTTTATAGCAGTTCTTTATTTACAGTTTCTAAATCATCTGGCGGCTAGTGTCCAGCTAAGATTTTTAAAAATGTGGCCTGTTGTTGAAGCAAGCAACAACTATTCGGTGAGTACCCTACTCTAAGGCGTAAAAATGTTGTGGTAGTTTTTTTTTCCGGTTTTTTTATTTCGACTTGGGACCAATTTTTGCGTTCCTGTTGAAGCGGCATAATCATAACAACGAGAAAAGGTAATATTTTGAAATGGCAATATTTTCGAGCTATGCAAAGTGGAGCCGCAAGATTCTATATCCGTTCGATATTATGAATGAGTCTGTATACCAAGAATACGATTTGGCGTTTGATTTGTTTGGGAACGTTTTGATTGGACTGAAGTTGGTAAATATTGGCAGCGTTTTATTTTTAGGAATTGCTTTTCCGGTTTCTTTGCAGTCTCATGCGTGGGAAACAAATAGAAAAGCATTTCAAAAAGAGGAAATTTTCACCCATGTGATGTGGATCACGGCATAGATATTTCAATCGTGTAGTTGGAGAAATAAGTTTTCGCTGTAAGGTAATTCTCTTGTATTACGTGGCGCAAATTCATAGCGCAAGGTTGATACCTACAATTTTCACACGTGAGTAGCGCGCGCACGTTTAAAAATGGCGTTTTATTTGTGGCATATGACTCGTCCTCTACCTTTTTTCTGTCACATTTAGGATTACTACTCAATCAGCGACATTTCAATAGAAGGACGCTGTGTCTGTAATGGCCATACAGATGAGTGCAGTCCAACAGACGATGGACGCATGGCTTGCCATTGTCGCCATAACACGTGCGGGGAACGGTGTCAATTTTGTTGCGAGGGTTACTCTCGAGACGACAATGGTGATTGTGAGGGTATGTTTCGGTTTTGCTTTTCAACTAACAATCGTTGTCTCGGGGGCTCCCATTTTGCTATTTTCAGAGGATAAAAATCGTCACGCGCTGGTGCATGAAAAGTTGCTTGGAATGGTAGTTTTACGTCGTTTAAGAGATAATAAATACTTTAAAAACCGCATTCCCCCCTTAAGCGCTGTACAAACCCATTTCCGGTAGGTTAAGTTTTTGTTTTGCATTGCATTTTTACTGTCTCTAGGTAGACCAAAGAATACTTCAAAAGTGAACTCTAACAAAACATCTTTGGCACACACGACAA